GGTTTTGGTTGATCCTTGTTGGTCGCCTTTGCTCTCAGCTTCGCTCAGGTGGGCAGCCTGCCTCAAATGCAGTGGTGAGCGGAAACGCTTGAGGCACATCTTGGTCTACCCAGCAGAGGCAGGAGGAAAGATGCTTATATAAGACCGCTCAAACGGGAATGCTTTCCATGTATGTGTTTTGAGAATGATTGTAGTTCAAAAGGAAGCATGTGTTTCTTTCTGTCTTTCTTTTCTTTCTTTTTTTCTTCGTGTGTTCTTTCTTTTACGCATTTGTGTATGTTCTTCTATTAAGTTGGAGGCCATCGCTCATAGGTGTCTTTTCTTTCTTTTGTGTTCTCCAAAGCGAGATGTCATTTCCAGGGTGGCCGTGAGTGTGCTCCTGCTGATCTAGAGGAAATTGGATCTTGCCCGAACCCATGCACAGAGGAGCGGGAGGAAACTCTTGGCCTCTCTCTGTCTGATACTGATACTATGAGTGAGTATCTATATGAGTACTTAGTACTTTATATTTAGTACTGTATATTGAGTGATATCCAGCACTTGTCACTTGCCTTTAGCTTGCCTTCAGCTCGGCTTCAGTCACATGTGCAGGAAAAATACTGTACATGGGACACCTGGTCGCTGGCCTCAGGGAGCGTCAAAGTCCTCACTGCATGTTTGCATTCTCTCTAGGAGCGATCGGACGCTACTAGGGGCTCCTGGCATCGCTACTAGGAGCAAGGACGCTAGTAGTAACAAGTGCCACGCTAGTAGTAACAGGTGCCTTACTAGTAGTAACAAGAAGCTACTAGGGGCTTTCTCACTGCATGTTTGAAACTGTGAGTGTGAACCCGTCGGTCCTTTTCTGCCAACACACGCGCCGTTTTGGGGCGGTTTGAGACATGCAGACCATTCGATGGCCTCCAACCTAATAGCTTCTTGTTCCTAGTAGCGAGGCCAGGAGCCCCTAGTAGCGTCCTTGCTCCTAGTAGCCATGGCCTTTGTTACTAGTAGCTTTTTTGTTTCTAATTGGAGAATGGCCTCCCTACTCGCGATGGCCTCCAGTCTAGACCTTTCTTTCCTTTGTCTTTGATTCGACCTGAGGTCAAGCTGGGGCGCATGCTCCATGACATGTGGGCCGGGAGGAAAGCGAAAGCGGACGCGAGGAATGACAGAGGCAAGAAATACGAAGACAGACTGGTAGGTAGGCGATGACTGGCTCAATATGGGGAAATGCTTGAGGACACCTTGAGGACGACACAATGCACTTGTTCGTTTGAAAAGGCTTAAGGTTTCAGCCTGACTGGCTCCGAGTACCCTTCGTGTCGAGGCCGTGAAACCGGCGAACTTGGACAATCTCGCTCTGCCGCAGAAGACCGACGCGGAGAAGACCGACTCGGAGCATCGGAAAGCTCTCGTGGAGAAGTACCGAAAGCTCTATCAACGCACCAAGAGTCTCGAGGATGGTCAGATCAAGGAGATGGAGAGAGAGAATTGGTCAATTGGTCAGTTCTTCGGTTTTTCTTTGTGGCCTTTTTGGCTGCAGAATTGTTGAGAGAGAGAGAGAGAGAAAAAAAAAAAAGAACAAGAGTAGGTCGGGAGAAGAAAGGTCTAATGATCTATTGTTAAGTTTTAACCAAAATAAGGAACCAACTCATGCGAATGATTCTTCAAGGAAGCTTCCTTGAAGAAGCCCGAGCTGTCCGTCCTGCGTCCTGTCGGTAGTACTGGCAGCTAGTAGCTACCTCTCCCTACTAGCTACCGACTCAGCTAACCTACCTCCTAGCGGCCTACCCCCCCCCACTACTAGTAACAAGTGCCACGCTAGTAGTAACAGGTGCCTTACTAGTAGTAACAAAGAAGCTATTAGAATTAAGTTTAAAGTAAATTGATAGCTTTTTGTTAATAGCTACCTACCTAGCTACTACCTACCTCCTAGCAGCCCACCCCCTATGTATATTGATTCCTATTATTACCTCCGGAAGAAGGTAGGGGACTTGTTACTAGTAGCTTCTTGTTACTACTAGTAAGGCACTTGTTACTAGAAGCGATGCACTTGTTACTAGTAGCGAACCTTGTTTCTAATAGCTTCTAATAGCTTCCACAAATATATTATATATAACATCCGGTTGTTGTTTTTCTGCAGCGCTCTAACCGCAAGGAGATCGTCCTGGCCTTCACCGCTGGATTCTTGGCGCTCTTTGCGGTTGGTGGGTTCTCCCTCCGCCGGGTGCGGCGTGACCCAAGTGAGGCCCGATCGCACGGTCGTACTCGTGTTCGAAGCATTTACAAGTTGTTCAAAGCAGCAAAGGGCATCGCTACTAGGAGCAAGGACGCTACTAGGGGCTACTGGGAACAAAGGGCATCGCAACATTCCTTTCTGACACCGACTGTTTTGGTCAGTGTTGTCTCATCCTGCACTCTCACTAAGCACTATGAGTACTGTGCATTTTGTCAAACAAGACTTAACAAAGCTCTTGGTGTTCAAAGTGCTACTTCGCCGCAGGACTTGAGGGATCCAGAGGCGCAGGTCTTGGGCTTATTTAGGCACCAAATACGCGACCATTCGCTTGGGCTCAGAGAAGAAAGACAGTTGAAATGACAAGAAAAAGGTGAAAGGTCTAGAATGGAGGCCATCCCTATTAGGTCAGAGAAGAAAGGTAGGTTTGGAAAACGGTTCGAGTTTTCCACTGCGCAAGGTTTGGATGCTAGCTGCCCGTATGTACATACTCCTATCTCTCATTAACTCCTACCTTCTACATGTCTAACTACCGACTTCTTGTTACTACTAGTAAGGCACTTGTTACTACTAGCGTGGCACCTGTTCCTAGTAGCTTCTTGTTACTACTAGTAAGGCACTTGTTCCGACTTCTACCACCGTCGCTATTTGTCCGAAAGCTTCTGCCACCGACGAAATGGCCCGAGGTCTCAGACTCCGAGAGGCCTTTCTTGCCGTAGGACGACGAAAACGGATCGCTTTGTTCTTCGACTTGTCATTCCCTTTACTCGTTTCATCAACATGTGGTTCACATACATAGTACAACGTGTGTACAACATGTTCTAACATGGTCAGAAGTCTATTGGCTGGACATAGCTTGCTATGGTTTGCTATGGACTTTTTAAATGATCGACATTGTGCCATCCTAGTACTAGGAGCAAGGACGCTACTAGTAGCTCCAGGCCTTACTACTAGGAGCAAGGACGCTACTTGGCGCCAACACGGTATGTCGAAGCAAACGTTGAAAAGAGCCCCACAAAGATCTCAAGATGACGCGCCCAAACCAAGCAATCCATCCTAAGAGCGATGCGCTCCAACCTGATAGCCATGGCCTCCAACCTAAGAGCGATGGCCTCCAACCTACTAGCGATGGCCTCCAAGCTAATAGCGATGGCCTTCAACCTATTGGCAATGGCCTCCAACTTAAGAGGGATTCCGGGATGGCCTCCAACCTAACTGCGGAATAAATTCAATCCAAAGGGTACAAGGTAGGCAGAGTCCTTATTCTGTAGGGTCTAGTTCTGGCCAATATAGTGCCCTGATGGGTTTCGAGGGGCTATGACATGCTACCACATGCTACCGCAAGGCACACTAGCAGAGGAGCTGGCATGATGTGAAACGGTCACAAAATATTCATGTTGTTCCTTTCCCTTGTTCTTTAGACCTTTGTGTTTAGATGCTGTTCTTGGATGTAAACGTAAACATATGAGGATATGTTAACTTTCCACCTAAAATGATACTCTCATTTGAGCAAACTTCGGGCATTAGAGAAATGGGGAAACGTCAAACATGGATGACGCTCACCGTCATCATCAGGACCTGCCAAGCCTGAGCTGTTTCAGTCGAATTCGGCTCCCGCAAAGTTGCATGATAAGCAATATACAAACCAACTTTAGCCTGCAACCTAGAAGCGATGGCCTCCAACTTTGGCCACAAGTTCGAAATGGCAGACAACGGCGCGGACGGCATATATGGTCCGCTGTTTTACCAAGCACCCTACAGCTGGCGCGCTCAGAGCTCGCGGCGGTAACAAATGGACCGCTGCACCGTTCGAGATTTTTCAGGGCACAAAGATGTCTGCGCAATCTTGCACGGAAGATGTAGCCGATGTAGCCATCAGCAATCCAAACTTAAAACATATAGACACATCATTGAATTGACTCGCATTCCTGTTTGGTCGAAAAATGGATCAAACATAAGGTCGACTTGCATGGGGGTTCCCAAGTTCATGTGGAAAACATCGAAGGAAAGGAAGAAAGAACAAGACGAAGCATCCCAGGTCAAAACGAAGAATCAAGAATACACATGAGGACGAAGAATCAAGTGAGTTCCTAGTAGCGTGGTACTTGTTTCTACTAGTAAGGCACTTGTTACTAGAAGCGAACCTTGTTACTACTAGTAGGGCACCTGTTACTACTAGCGTGGCACTTGTTCCTAGTAGCGTCCTTGTTTCTACTAAGTGAAGAAGCGAGTGAAACATAGTGAAACTCTGAATGTGGGGAATGCCCTGATGGCGATGTTAGGATCTTTGGACCTTAGCAGTGCTGTGCTGCACCGCTTCGGCCCCTTCGAATTGGTGCGAAATGCGCAAAACGCACATCACCGAGAAGCAGCAGCGATCACCGGGCGATGGCACCAGGTGAAGCTGAACGAGGTGGAAGTTGTTGCTCCACCGCTGGGAAGTTCAATGACAGACAGCAGCCTCAATGGCCTCCAACCTAGTAGCGATGCCCTTTGCTCCTAGTAGCGATGCCCTTTGTTCCTAGTAGCAAGGATGCTACTAGTAGCTTCTTGTTCCTACTAGTAATGCCAGGAGCCCCTAGTAGCGTCCTTGCTCCTAGTAGCGATGCCCTTTGTTCCCGAAGAAAGAAGGACCGAAGGGTGAGGACATGGATAGAAGTCATTGACCTTCCTGGGAATCGTGCGAATGGAGACCAAAAGTGGTGGCGTGATGTCACTCCTAAACGTGCACAGTCGACCAGTCCCACATTGGAACGCCCGAAAGTTCGAAGAAAATCCTGAGGAAGAAATGCTGGGAGATGGCTACGCAGCTGCAGAGAGAATTGCCCTTGAGCCCAATGGCAACCCGAATTACTTGCCCAGGCCTCAGAAAACGAAGAGAAGTCGATGAATGATGTTGGTTCTTTTATTCTTGTCTTCTTCTTTTCTCTCAAATGTTCACTTTCTGTTAGGTTTTGTTTTGGGGTAGGCCGTGAAGGAAGTAGCTGGTAGCAGTTAGCCACATAGAAGGCTACTAAGCAGCAGAAACTTCACCAAAACAGACCAGACCTCGACGTTTCGTTTTCTTCGTCGAATGGTTTTGAGTAGTTGTACTCGTAGGATACATTTGGAATACCTGCAGTGTCACTAAGCTAAGATGACTGTGTATGGAAGTACAGACAAGTTGCTTTCGAAACGTTCGGGTGTATCACTTGTGACACAAAACCTTTGTTGAACATCTGTTTTGCGTTCGTTGTGTATCGCTTTGAATCTGTTTTGCGTCGCCGACCTAAGGATTGATCCCAACAATGCGAACTTCTTCCACATGATGTTTTTTCTTATGACCCAAAGATGACTGTCAACAGTCCGAAGATGATTTTGTACATTGCATTTGTTGCAAAGATTTTGTACAGCTTTGCGAGAAGTTTAGAACAGCGCTGCTCCAAGCTATGTGATTGACCTCACAGATTCACGCGAGGCAAAAGACAAAGCCCATCCCATGTGGAATCAACGATTGGGCTTTAACGAAAGGATCTTCGATGTTAAAAGGTAAACAGCCTTTGAAGGTGTTCTCCTTTCGCCATTTGTCTAAATCAGTCAACATACCCTGAAAGATCAAACAGAAACCAACAGGTCAACCAAGGGCATCGCACCGTGAGAAGCACCTGTGTGGATGAGAGAGATCAGGTGACACGAGGTCGTGCATGTAGCGATGGCCTCCAACCTAAGAGCAACCATGGGGAAAGGGTTATGCTACGTTATGCTCGCAGATGGTTGCTTGGCGAGCTTGGCCATTCCTTCAATGAATCAGATAATCAGGCCATCAACGGAGCACCAAATATCAACTAAGTCCTCAACATGACTCTGCGCATACTGAGAGTCCGTCGCGCCCAATTTGTGCGAGAATGAAAGCACCTGAGTGAAGAACAGCAAGCAAACCACGTACCGCAGTCTTTGCAAGTTTCCTCGTAACATGTATTTCATGTCTTGTTGCTTGCTTTTCGACCTTTATCATCCACCCGCTTGTTCTATTTCTGTGTGTTTGTTTTAATATCCCGGCTCCACGTTCTTTTTTTTCTCAAGAAAGCTGCGGGTGGTGCTGGTGGTGCTCGGCAGCTCAGCTTAGAATTCAGCCCGGAACGCTTTGCTGGCCAGGAAGCATCCACAAAGAACTAAGGAAAGAAGAAAAGACACCTGATAGATGGCCTCCACCCTAGTAGTGATGGCCTCCAACCTAAGAGCGGTGGCCTCTACTAAATCGCCACAATTTGTGTTCCTTTGATTCCTAGTAGCTTCTTGTTACTACTAGTAAGGCACCTGTTACTACTAGCGTGGCACTTGTTCCTAGTAGCGAACCTTGTTTCTAGTAGCTACTTGATTGTCGCAAGTTGTGCTGAGGAGCCATGGGGGAGGCCAGACACAAACAATGTCGGTTGAACATGTTCGCTTCGTCAACATGTTTTCAGGTCTAGAAAGTGTCTAAAGCAAGGAACAAGGAAAGATAAAGGGAAAGAAACGGGCAAATGTAAAAGAAAGGAAAGACAAGTAGCTTATTTAATTCTAATAGCTTCTTGTTACTAATTTGTCGACTTGGTTAGTTGGACTTGTTTCGGAGGCCTCGATCCTCTCGGAAAAGCTCAGGAGGCGACAGTGCAGTCGATGCTGTGTGTTTCAATTTGCATGGTCCAAATCGTTTAACTAAAAAACTTGTTCACAAGATGTCCTACATCCGTTTTTGGTTTTTCAAACTTTTTTTTGTTTGTTGTCATTTTCTGGTTCTTCTCGTCCTCTTTCGAGGTATGGCGCTGTGGGTGTGGGAATCATACCCGACTCTCTGGCCACGATCCGCTATTTGGAGGTCGATGTCGAAGAAATCGACGACCCAAAATGGCTAGTAGGCCACCTAACTAGGTTGGAGGCCACCGCTACTAGTAATGCCTTTGTTACTAGTAGCTTCTTGCTACTAGTAGCGATGCCAGGAGCCCCTAGGTTGGAGGCCATCGCTAGTAGAATAAGAAAGATAGAAAACAGATGAGACACGGATGCAAAACAAGTCAGCACAAAGTGCCAGGCGTTTCTTGTAGCTTTGTTTTGTTCCGTTTGTGTTTCATGTTTTCTCTCGAAAAAGACTTTTCTCAGACGAATGCTCTGATTCTTACAGTCGAGGCTGCCAAAGCCGGGAGAGAAGAAAAAAGGCGGCAAGTTGTGCATCCGCATTGCCTGAGATAGGATTACAAAAGTACGGTGGTAGTATGAAAGCCTTATGGTTGTTGAATGAAATACTGTTGTTCCAGACATATATGGTGGATTAAAAGAATTACGGTCGTGTTGTATGTTCATGGATCGGAAGTCACACAACCATGTCCCAAAATACACATGCAGTAGTAACAGGTGCCTTACTAGTAGTAACAAGAAGCTATTAGAAACAAGTGCCACGCTAGTAGTAACAAGTGCCTTACTAGTAGTAACAAGAAGCTATTAGCTTATTGTTTCTACTAGCAATCCTGTTTGTACCTTCAGAAACACTTGGGTTGTCGGTCGTTGTGGAAAAGACCAGTTCTCCCGTTCGTTTTGACAAAGGACGGTTGTTTCGGCAAAAAACGTTTGTTGCGTCGAAAGGACGCTTTGATGCGAAAATTCTCGCTGTCGCGAAGAAAGAAAAGAAGAAGATCTTCAGCTATCGCTATTAGGTTATTAGGTTGGAGGCTATCTCTATTAGGGTGGAGGCCATCGCAGTCCCAACGAAAGAAGAGATCTTGAGCGTCTTAGCTGTCTCATTGTCGACAATCACATAATCGTCAGACTGTCAGACTAATCTCTCGCAGAATATGAACATGTTTTGAGGACATCCATTTTACATCTTCGAGCCCTGTTTCTTCCTGTCTTGACAGAAATCACAACTTCGTCCTTTAGCTTTCTAGTCCAAGTATGCTCACCGAAGATGGCACGAGACGCGAACGAACCAGTCGTTCCAAAGGCTCCAAACTTTTGTGTTCAGACAGGAACGAGTTTGCGTTTAGTTTGCAATCAGTGGAGGCTCCTGGCATCGCTACTAGGAACAAGTGCATCGCTACTAGGGGCTCCTGGCCTTACTACTAGGAGCAAGGACGCTACTAGGAACAAAGGGCATCGCTACTAGGAGCAAAGGACGTTGCGGTGGAACACTGCTTTGCAATCAGTGCATGCACTCCACCGTGCAGTGCACGCCCAGTCTTGATCCCAACTTCGCCAGGATCTGCACCAAAGGAAGTGCCGCCAAGCTTGGGACTCAAAGGCAACCAAGTTTGGAAGCGAAAGTGAGTTTTGTTTTCTTTTGGCAGATGATGACCATATTCAAAAGGTGTTTGTCTTTGTGTTCTTGTACCTTTTCTCTACTTGTCTTCTCTTTCGTCTTGAGACCTTTGGTGATTCAGACCCTTTCTTGTTTTCTGCTTTAAGTTTTCTTACGAATTTTCTTTTAATTCTTGTGCTTTATTTTCCTTTTTTTATCATTATGCATTTCTCTAATTATTATTCTTTGATTCGTCATTTGCAAAACGCTTATTTGCCTTCCGAACTTCGTCTCAAAGGTGAGACCAAATCAGGAGCGCTTTTTAAGTTAGACAAAGACAGTTAGAGAAAAGGTAGACAAGTAAAAAGACAGTTGGAAAGAAGACAAAGACTTAGAGAAAAGAGCTTCACAAAGAGATCTTTCATAACAGGTTCAAAAGAAGAAGCACACCACGCCAGAAATCCTTTTGCTTCAGTTTTCTCAGGAGGGACGATGTCGCGAGCAGAGGTTTTGAAATTGTTGGACGAGACCATTCGAGTTCAAGGCGTGAGATCCAGACCCGAAGCCTTTCGAAGTCGACATGTCAAGAACTCGATTTGCATCGATCTACGAGCTACAGCCTAGAAACGACCCTACGAAACAGAAAAGCTTCAATTTGACCGATGTACGGCCTTTGGTACAGCCCCTGTGTGCGTTGTGTTTGGGCATCGTTGAGGCGTTGTTCAAACCGAGATCAGCCAACTTGCGAGGGACTTGGCCAAGGAGTGAATCTGAGTGGCTTGTGGCGGAAACTCTCCTCTTTGGTTTGTTTCATGTTCGCTACTAGGGGCTCCTGGCCGTACTACTAGGAGCAAGGACGCTACTAGGGGCTCCTGGCATCGCTACTAGGAGCAAGGACGCTACTAGGAACAAAGGGCTTCATTTTGCTTCCTAAAGTGCCCAAGAAGAGCTCAAGTGGACGCTCTCTTAGAGCACAGAATCATCACCACAGCGACCACAGGAAACACAGGAACGACCTGTTTGAGGTCGAGATTTCCTTTGGGAAAAGGCAAAAGGAAAGAAAACAAATAGCAATGGCCTCCAACCTAATAGGGAAAAAAAGAGAGAAAGAAAAGAAGAAATTACATTTAAACAAATGCATAAAGGCATATAAAGGCATCATAAAGCGCTGTTGCTTTGCCATCACTCTTTCAATGTGTATTCCTTTTTGTGGTTGGGAGAGGAGCTGAATCAAGTGAAATTTAATTGCATGTGCTGATGTGTGTTCTGATGGATCGTTCCATTCTGCCATGCTTAGGGCAAAATGGCTTGACTCACTCTCCACTCCCCACGTTTCGAAAGGAAGCGAGTCCCCTGCGCCGTCGTTGGTTTGAGAGGAGAGAGATGGCAAAAAGAAAAAGAAGCTTTCGATCCCAGAGGCTCTCCGAAAGATCCAGGCGCGTCGACGCGCTCTGGAGTTTTTTCCCGCCTTCCTTCAGGTCCGGTCTCCACTTCAAGGGAGAAGTAAGCTACTAGGAACAAGTGCATCGCTAGTAGTAACAAGTGCCTTACTAGTAGTAACAATGTTTGCTATTAGAAACAAGTACATCGCTACTGGACGCAGGATAGCTCACACTTCTATTGGGGTCATCCCATGCTGCCTGGCACACCGAAGCGTGCAGGAACTCAACCTGCCACGAGATCCCTTGGAGGAGACTTGGTCTTGACCCAAGCGGTGAAAACGAAGCTTGTTCCTAGTAGCGAGGCCAGGAGCCCCGAACGTAGCGATGCACTTGTTCCTAGTAGCGATGCCCTTTGCTCCTAGTAGCTATGTTTACTTCCCAGTGAATGATTTCACACAAGTTTTAGCCAGGAGCGGAATTTGTCAGAGGACGCATTTCAGAGACAGCTTGCAAAGCCAGAGCTCCAAGTTGCATGTCTCGTCATGCTTGAAAGCAAGAAAGCAAAGACGGAGAAGAAAAGAAGACGTTTGAGACGACATTGCTGAAACATGAAACATGAAAATAAGAAGACAAAGTTTCTTCTTGCCAAGTTTGTGTTCAGAAGTCTTTTCTTTGTGAAACGCATTTTTCAGGTATGAGCAGGATGAAGAGGCCAGGAAACGGAGACCAACGGAGAGAGCTTTGACTGAGCCTTGCCCCGCGACTTCGCTGCGCCCCTAGTAGCGTTCTTGTTCCTAGCGATGCCCTTTGCTCCTAGTAGCAAACAT